GTGCGTCTCTCTGGGTTCGGGCAGCGCCTGCAGCTCCCCTGGGCTGTCCCTGCTGCCGGAGTCAGCCCCTCCCATCAAACCCCAGCCCCGTCCTGGGTCTCAGCGACCCCCCGCAGGGCAGGGCCCCCCCAGACCGTCACTGGCTCAGCCCCGGCCCCGCAGGGTGAGCAGGTGCGAGTGTGTGTGGGGGGTCATTTAATCGCCCTGCCCCGCGGTCGCCCAGGGAGCCAGGTGGGTCCCAGCTCCTACACTCAGGTCCCGGCTGCTGTGCGGGTCGGCCTGGGGCTGGGGCCAGAGACGTGTCAGACCCCAGGGCGTGGGGCAGCCGGGGGCTCCGTACTCACCGGCACTCCCCAGCCACAGGAGCAGGGTGATCCGCAGGGCCATGGCTGCACTGAGCCGTCCCGGGGGGGGCGGGTAAGTTTCACATCATACCTCAGAGGTGAGCGACTAATGCAGGATTTCCGCTTCTCTCCACCCCCCCCCCATGTGTTTGTGGGGACATGGGGCCAGGATGCGCTGGGCCCTGCAGGGCTGAGCGGGGGAGACTCTGCTCCACAATAGCCGTGTCTGTCCTGGGCCGTGCACGGGCTGCTTGTTCCCCGCCCCAGGGAGCAGCTCCCCCACTTGGGGCCAGGACCCCTCCCCTCTCCCGGCCCATAGGGGGAAGGGGTCTGCACTAGCCTGGTGCAAACAGCTGCAGGGGCTCTGGGAGCGCTGGGCCGGATGGTCCCATGGGGCTGGGCTGGGCTGGGGGTTCTGGGGGCTCCGTGCTCCCCCCAGGGGCTGCTGGGCCCCAGGCCGGGACATGGGCTCTGTGCAGGGCGCTCGGTGACACAGGAGCTGCCCTGAGCAGGTCTCTGTCCCCGGGCGCCGAGTCGCTAAGGTGCAACCCCCAGCCCCCCAAAGCTGGGGTAACGGGCGGTGCAGGGTGAACGTCTGGCTGGGCCTGTCTCTGCTGGGGGCTGAAAGCAGCCACAGAGCCGGGAGCAGCCCAGAGCTGCCTCTAACCGGCTATTTCAGTTCCTCCCCGGCCAGGGCCTGAAATAGCGTCTGCTTCTGCTTGGCTGTGAGGTGGGCGGTAGCGTGCGCACGAGTCTCGGTCTGGGCTGGAGGCGCGCTGCTGCGTGCAAACTCCTGGACATTTGCAGTGAGTATTTGAGGGCCCTGCAGGGTCTGTGGGTGGGAGATGTGCTATCGAATCACTCGTGGCTTCAGCACTGGCTGCAGGGTCTGAGCTGTTATAAGTACAAATGCTGCGAGCTCCTAGGGCTGTAGGAAACCTTAACATGCAGCCAGAACGTACCTGGTGCACCGACACTGCCTGAGTCTGCAGCGAGCCCGCGACAATCGCTCTGCGAGGGGATCTGCCTCCGGGGCAGCCGGTTCGGAGCCGATGTAAATCGTGGCACTGAGGCAGCCCTTGCAGGACGTCGGCCTGGAGCTCTCGTCCAGCTCTTGGGGGATTTCCCCTGTGCAGTTTTGCAGAGCTCCTTGTAGTAGGAAAAGAGCCTGAGATCTAAGCCCTTGTATCAGAGGCTGGTATGAGGCCTGAGCTAAAGCAGTGGACAAGCTTTGCTGATATAAAGCAAAGTTAGCAAAAGTCCGGCTGTGAGCAAACGTCAGGCTCCGCCGGCAAGTTCACAGAATCTGCCAAGAACAGGGCTGACATTGCAGAACACACTTTCCTGAGAAGTGCTAGGCACAGAGCTCTCCTGCAAACCTATCCCGATAGCAAGGATGGTTCGGACACATTCCCCAAGGAGAACAGGAACACACTGACCCCTCCTAAAGGATAAGGTCAGGATGACGGTACGTAATAGAGATGTTTTGATCGAACCAACATGTACAAGGTGATGGGTGATAACTAGCCACGTCAGGGGGCAGTAACTAACTGTGTCAGAGGCAGTACTAACTTGTTTGTATTGGGTATAAAGAGGTATCTCGAAGAGTGTGTCTTGGTCCAGCCAAGGGGGGGAAATGGAAAGTCCCGCCATTCACTGAGCTGTGTCCATTGTCACGGGCATATGTCTTAGTATCCTCGTAGAGTCTGCCAGGTGCTATTACTGTGCTTTGTTGACAATAAACCTGGCCTGGTGCCTTCGTCCCTTAACGGATCTTGTGGTCTTTGGGCGGTTTGCTCGAGCTCTGCTGTGCCGGCTGTCTGTGCAGGGCGGGGGCAGCACACAAGGAGAACACACACATGCAGTCAAACATTTAACCACACTCCTGGCAGGCAGCGCCGCTGTCAGTGTGACAGGTGAATGGCTGAGCGGGGGCATTGGAGCAAGCTCCATCTTCCTTTGCTTGTCGCGGTGCAGACGGGGTGCTGCCGACAGACCCCTGGCAGGCGTGTCCCTGGCGCTCCCCACTCGGGGACATCACAGGGCTCTTTCTGGGGCTGTCTGCGCGCTGGTTTCTGTTCCTGCGGTGAGTGCGTGTGGCACCATGGGCTGGCTCCTGGCCCTTGCCATGTCCCCCCACAGGACGTGCAGCACTTGCTGTTCTCTGCTGCCCACTGCTCCGCGTTGGGCTCTGCCTGTTCTGCCCCTGCTGGGGGGTCCCGCACCACTTCCGCTGTCGGACGCTTCCCAGTTGTGTAGTGATTCATAGATTCTAGGACTGGAAGGGACCTCGAGAGGTCATCGAGTCCAGTCCCCTGCCCGCATGGCAGGACCAAATACTGTCTAGACCATCCCTGATAGACATTTATCTAACCTACTCTTAAATATCTCCAGAGATGGAGATTCCACAACCTCCCTAGGCAATTTATTCCAGATCGTTAGGAACTTTTTCCTAATGT